CCGTCCCATTGGGGCGTTTAAGCTTGTACGTCCCCGGTTTGATGATGGCTGAGATGATGTAGGGGCCTTCAAACTTGGGCGCCATCTTTCCTCCTTCGGTGGGTAGACTGGCCTCCCTTCGTCGGAGGACGTAGTCTCCCACCTGGAATTCCCGGGAGCGGACCTTGGCGTCGATGTATCCTTTGACTTGTCTCCTATAGTTTTCGGCTTTGAGGAAAGCTCGCTCGCGGCGTTCCGAGATGAGATGAAGGTCGAGGGCCATGTTGGCGTCGTTGACCTCGGGCTCATATTGTTCAACCCTTCGGGTCGGAAGGGTCACTTCTGTTGGAGCCTTAGCCTCAAATCCATAGCATAGGGAGAAAGGGGTCTCGCCTGTTGCACGCCGAGGGGTGGTGCGGTAGGCCCATAAGATGTTATGAAGCTCTTCTACCCAGCCTCCCCCTTCGGCTTCCAGCTTTTTCTTCAATCCTTCAAGTAGGGTTCGGTTGGCGTTCTCCACTTGCCCGTTGCCCTGAGGGTAGGCAACGGAAGAGAATGTGTGCTTGATGCCCCAAGCTTCAAGGAGGGCACAGAAGGGGGCTGCCTCGAACTGAGTCCCGTTGTCGGAGATGATTTGTTGGGGGACGCCAAACCTTGTGAGAATGTTCTTGAGGACGAAGTGACGGCACCGGGCCTCCGTGATGCTGGCGAGGGGTTCGGCCTCTACCCATTTGGTGAAGTAGTCAATGGCCACAATGATGTACCTGTTGTTGGAGGTACCCCTCGGCAAAGGTCCCACTAAATCAACCCCCCATCTGGAGAAGGGTATAGCGGTGCTGATGGGAGCATAGTTGACCGCTGGTCTGCCGGGGGCCTTTTGAAAATGTTGGCAAGCGGTGCACCTCCGGGCTAGATCTGCACAATCTCTAGCCATTGTGGGCCAGAAGTAACCCTGAACAATGAGCCTTCGGGACATGGAGAAGGGTCCCTGGTGAGCTGAGCAAGTGCCACTGTGCACTTCTTCCATGGCGACTTCGGCTTCATCCTGATGAAGGCACCGAAGGAGGGTGCCGTTGTAGGATCTCTTGTAAAGCCTCCCGTTTTCGATGGCGTAGCTGGGAGCCCTCAGCTTTGCTAACTTGGCGCGGGCTTCGTCTTGGGGCAATTGCCCTGTGGTGATGAAGGTGACGATGTCGGAGATCCAATCCTCCGGCCTCAAGTTAATGTTCATGATGGGGCTCGCGTGGATGCTTGAGAGGCTGAGTTCCTCAATTCTTGCAATTTTGGAGAGGTGCTCGGGGGATTCATCCGAGAGCTTGGATAGAATGTCGGCCTCAGAGTTTTGAGCCCTCGGTATTTGGGTGAGGGAATGTGCCTCAAATACCTTAAGCAATTCTTTGGCCGCTTCCCTGTATTGCTTCATCCTTCCTTCCTTAGCCTCATATTCGCCGGAGAGTTGGCCTACGACTAGCTTGGAGTCGCACTTGACGTGGATCATCTTGGCCTTCAGATTTGCTGCCAGCCGAAGGCCACATAGGAGGGCTTCGTACTCGGCCTCGTTGTTGGAGACTTTGAAGGAGAAGCGGATGGCATAATATGCGCGGAAGCCCTCGGGTGTGATCAGGACTACTCCCCCTCCGCATGCTTTGGTGGCTGAAGAGCCGTCGGTGTAGAGGGTCCACCATTCGTCTAGGGGTGCCGAAGGCTCCTCGTCAGTTGCTGATCTCGCGGTGCACTCCGTCACGAAGTCCGCCAGGGCTTGGCCCTTAATGGCAGGCCTCGGACGGATATCGATGTTGTATTGGCTGAGGAAGATGGCCCATTTCACCATCCGAGAGGAGCTAGTGGGACTCCTCATGAGGGCGCCGAGGGGTTGATGAGTGAGCACTTGGACCGGATGAGCTTGAAAGTAGTGGCCAAGCTTCTTGACGGTCCAAACGATGGCTAGCACCGTCTTCTCGACGGGAGAATACCTGAGTTCGGCCTCCCGGAGGGTTTTGCTGACGTAGAAGATGGCGTGTTGGATGCCGTCTTCCTCTTGGATTAGTACTGAGCTGATTGCCGCAGGGCTAACACCGAGATACAAGTATAAGGTCTCCCCCATCTTCGGTTTGGAGAGCACCGGGGGAGAAGAGAGGTACTTCTTAAGTTCGTCGAAGGCCTCTTGACACTCAGATGTCCATTGGAAACCAGCTGTCTTCCTCATGATTTGGAAGAATGGGAGGGCCCTCTCGGCTGACTTAGAGAGGAATCGGTTGAGGGCCGCCAGGCGACCCGTCAACCGTTGAACTTCTTTGACGTTGCGCGGAGGCTCCATATTGATGATGGCCTGAATTTTCTCGGGGTTGGCCTCGATACCCCTTCGGCTTACCATATAGCCCAAGAATTTTCCACCCTGTACGCCGAAGGTGCATTTCTTTGGATTCAATCGGAGGTTGAATTTTTGCATGATGGCGAAGATTTCCTGGAGGTCCTCGGCGTGAGTGCCGGCCTTCTTGCTCTTGACAATCATATCGTCAACATAGGCCTCCATAGTGCGCCCCAAGACAGCTTGAAAGACCCTGGCCACCATTCGGGTGTAGGTGGCGCCTGAATTCTTGAGGCCGAAGGCCATCACGAGGTAGCAGAAGATGCCTTCGGGTGTCATGAAGGCAGTTTTTTCAGCGTCTTCTTCATGCATATAGATTTGATGATACCCGCGGAATGCGTCGAGGAAGGACATGATTTCGCATCCCGCGGTCTCATCCACCAGTTGATCAATGTTTGGCAGAGGGAAGGGGTCCATAGGGCACGCCTTATTCAGATCAGTGTAGTCCACGCACATGCGGAAGGTAGGAGGCTTCTGTGCAAGGACTACATTTGCTAACCAAGAGGGGTATTTCACCTCCTTGATATGTTTGATGGAGAGGAGCATGGCTACCTCCTTCTTCACGAACTCCCTTCTCTCGGCCGAGAGGGGTCTTCTCCGCTGTTGCATATTAATGAAAATAAGATTACATTTAAAATTTTATCGACACAAATTTAACAATTATTTTCCATAAATAGTGGTAATACACTAATACACCAATAAATGAGATACATTAGTTTAATGATACAAATTATTTCCAAATATAAGTTTTAAATGTCAATAAATAAAATATTGTCAAATAGGATCACTCAATATAGGATCAAAATTAAACATATATAGATAAAGTTAAAATATTTAACTAAATATGTGTTGTTTTCAAATATGACTTATTTAGTCTTGTTAAGACAATAAGTTAGATTAACACTATCCAAAACAAGAGTGAATGAGTCCTATTTTTGGAATAAGAGAATAATAATCCTATTTATGAACTTTGTCATTCTTTTAGTCTTATGTAAAGATTTTTTTCTCTGAATGTTAATGACCCCGAGTTGCATGTCTTAAATATTAGAGTTAATTACCCAAACCTGAGTAAAACATGGGAGATGTGCAAAAATAGGAGTAGAGTTTCAAAATACTCCAAGTAGAAGTATTTTTCCAGCTTGGACACTAATACCCCGCAAAAATAAATTTTTCCGGATAAATATGGTTGATTTTTCGGGAAGGCCGGGTTTGCTCTCCCCTATATGACACTAATATTTTAGACAAACTCCTTGACAGAGTAAACACATAATTAGTGGGTTGAATGAAAGAGTGAATACATAGATCTACAGTAAATATTTGATTTATATCAAAATTTTGTATCGACTCCGCCAATACAGTTTTTTTTGTACAACCCAGGAACCGTTAATATATTTATTGGATAATTTTATTTTTAAATACATATACAATATTGGTGTCATATGAAAGGTCTTGAAAAATTTAATTTGATATATTTTTTATTTTTTATTTTGAAGAAAGAGGCTTAAATTGATATCACAGCAATAGCAGAACTTAAGCAAGATACAAAATGATAAAAAGCATTTGCATAGAAGCAATAAGATTCGTTGATCCTGTAATAGGCTTAACTGAGACATTGACGGGCAAACCGGACTTCTCATCACCTCTCTTAAATTCTAGAGTTTTTTTGCTAAGAAATAAAAACACAACAAAAACAACATGCAGTTCGAAATAAAAAACACAAACAAAATAAAATAGAATTAAATAGAGTTCACTTGTTTTCTTCCAAACCCTAGATTCTCCAGTACTCCATGGCGGCGGTTCAGGAGGGGGACGAGTGAGCCAGAGTAATGTAGCTTCTTTCTCACCATGCCTCTTATTCATTATGTTCTCTGTCATAGGTACATTGTCTTACTTAAATGGATGACATTGATTAAAAATCATACCTCGAGATTCATGCAAAAAATGGGGCCCTTAATCTTCAACCCTTTATTTTTTGATCGAATGAAAACAACCCGACACCCTCCTTGTCTGCTTAACATACGTCCGATCCATTTTTGTACGGAAACCTGACTTCCCGTGTTTTGTACGGGGTTTCAAAACCCCATAAATTTGTAAATTCCTCATATATACATATATCAGGTGGCGAAATATGAGATTAAAATACGTGCTCATTATCACAAGTTGTTGAATTGCAATGGTGAAACTCTTGGGTGGATGATGGCGGTGGACGCTTCGTTCCTGCTTGAGGTCCTCCAAGCATACGCCGCCGCACCTGACGGCGGCCGGAAGGCTGAGCTAATGAAGACCACCAGGGTTTCATCCATAATGTCCCACTTGGCGGACATTTCAGGTGTGAGAAAATCAACAACCCTCGAAAATGCCATTCTCAGGGACATGGTGAAGCTCGAGAATCAAATCCCATTGCTTGTGCTGCGTAAAATCTTGGAAATTCATCTGTCTTCCTCGGAGTCGGCGGATGATGTTTTAACAAGCATGTTGATAGGGTTTTGTAAAGAGGTTTCCCCTTTCAAGCTGCAGGTGGATTTCCCGAATGTTACGACGGAAATTGGGGCGGCGACTCATTTGCTAGATGTTTTGTACCGACTTATCATCACCATGCCCATAAAGTGCAAGGATGTAATCGAGGAGAAGGCCGCCGGCGGTGAAGATGAGACGATGAGCCAAATAAATGGCGGGGGTAGCAACACCCTCAGTAGTAGTACTTCAGGTATGTTTCAAAAATTAAAATTAAAAAAAAAGTGATTTTCAGCTTTTTGGCTTATAAAATCCGAAAAGAGTGTTTTCTAGTGATAACTTCTGTTTAAATTAAACACTTAAAAGCTAAAAGTTAGAATCTATTCTTTTTACTTAAGGAGTGTTTGGATTTGCTTAAAAAAAGCGCTTTTCAGCTTTTGGCTTAAAAAAAGTTGAAAAAAGTGTTTTCAAATGACAGCTTCTGCTTAAATTAATCACTTAAAAGCTAAAAGCTTGGAAGCAGGTAGAAGGGTGCTTTAGGGAGTGTTTGCAAACACTACCTGATGGACAATCTACCCGGGGGGTGTCTTATCCGAGGGGTTATCACGGGAATAACTAGAGAGAAGTCAGAGCAAAATAGGAGGAGAGAGAGTCGATTTTATTAAATGAACTCGAGATATGGAGTGGTGTGTAGATGATGTCCATTACAAGGAGAAATGGGCTGCTATTTATAGCAGCAATAAATGCGATGGGAGGACACGTGTCAGTAATCCAACGGCCGAAGGGTCACATCAGCCGGGTGGCACCGGCAGAGGTACGTTCACCGCATTGAATGCGGTTGGCGGATGTGACGTGGCATTAAATGCGGTGGTTGGCTGTCTCCAAAAGGAATCTTTGATGATTGAGCACGTTTAGCCGAAGGCTCCTGGTGTAGCCGAGGGCTCCATGCGACCAGGACCCCTGTGCAGCCGAAGGCCTCTAGTAGCCGAAGGCCTCATGTGACCGAAGGCTATGATGCCGAGGGCTTGGCAATGCCGAAGGCTTATGTTTTTCGCCGTTTTCTCCCAGTAGCTTCCTATGCCAGAGAAGGCTATCCTGTGAGTTTTGGGGCCCTCGGCCAAGGAGGCCGAAGGCATCCCAGTGTGCATTCTGGGCTACTTTGAGGCTTGGGCCGTTGTATTTGGGCCCGAGTTGTTCCCTGAGCTCAATGGACTTGTGTAGGAGAAGTAGGAGTCTATGGGCCGGGGGTTCCTGGGCCATATACTCCATCAGGAGTCCCTCACTCCTTTTGCCGAAAGGTACTTGAGGGAAAAGGAGTAGATGTGTTGATTCTTCCGGGGGCTTCATCGCCTGTCTGGGTGCCTTTGTTTGAGAACTTGTCTTCTGTTGATTGCCGAAGGCTTCCCTCAGTCCCTCACATGTCGAGGGTTTTCTGAGGGAAGGTATTCATAACCTTCGCTCGTTCGCCGGGGGCTACCCTCAATTCCCTCACATGTCGAGGGCTTTCTGAGGGCAGTGTAACACCTGTATGGCCGCAGAAGGCTTTCCTCAGTCCCTCACATGCCGAGGGTTTTCTGGGGAAAGCATAGACGTATTGCCTGTATGTGTTGTGATGAGGGCTTCTGCATTTCCGCAAGTGACTCGGGGAAAACTTGTGATGCGGGGGCCTCTGCCGAAGGGTGTGTTGAAACATGTACCCGAAAGTTTCTGCTTTGATGTTCACCCGGAGGCTACATGCGTCAATTGTAAATCTTTGCATGAGGAATTTTGGTCCTGTATTTTTCGTGTAATTCCCGAGGGGTGTATCCTAGTCCCCCACTCCTTTAGGCCGAACGCTAGTTAGGGCTGAAGGAGTTATGATGTGTTGATGCAAGACCGAGGGGTGACAATACTGACAAGTGGCTCGAAGGCGTTTGGTGGGATTCGTTGTCCGAAGGATGTGGCGGGTGATAGCCGGAGGCTATCCTTCGAGGGCACCCCCGTGTTGCCGAAATATAGCCGTTGCAATATGGCCGTTGGAAGAGGGGTTGACGTGGAGTGTCCTTATTGGCTGGGGGGAGCGGCGGTCCTCCATTGGTCGAATCGGCGGCCTGTAATGATGGGCTTTCGAGTTGAGGCCCAGTTCTCGAGGCCCATCTGCCTATAAATACCCCGAGTTTGAGCTCATTTGTTCTTGTGCGAACTTAGAGAGATAGCGGAGCTCTGCCATTTTTTCTAGAGAGAGAAACTTCAGCCTTCGATCAAACGCAATTTTTGAGGTCAGTTCTTCCTCCTTTCCCATACACAGCGTATTTCGCTTTACTGGCCTTAGATCTAGTGTTAGGGAATACTTAGGAGCCTTCGGTTAGTTCTCTTACATTGTTCCCTTTCCCTGCTGTCGATAAGATGTCTTCTGCCAGCGACTCCCAGGATATTTCCGTGGAGGCCCCGGTCCAATCGGAGAGTTATTCGGAGGTTGAGTCCTCAAGTGACCAATCGTCGGTTAACAATGACGCTGCCATCGCCGAGGAAGTCCAAGACACCCTTCGGACTGAGTTGGAGGCGGAGGACTTCGAGCAGATGGCGGAAGACGAAGAGCTTGCCCTCGCACTCCAAGTCGCCGAGGAAGAGGAGGAGAAAGAGCGGCTGAAGGTGACCGTCGCCGCACTCCCCCTCCGTGGCGCCGGCGAAGCCAGTAGCTCCCGGCCCCTAGATCCGGAACCGATAAGCGTCGCTCCCGGGAAAAAGAAGAAGAAGACCCAGGCGGCCCCGAAGAAGAAGCAGGCTGCCATTGACGCGGGTCAGCCGGTGGGAATACCCGAGGGCCACTCGTATCTCAACACCGCCGCCCTCGAATTGAAAACGAAGGCCGGGGAGGCGGAGTATCTCAAAACTCAATTGTTGGTTGGCCCGTCGGCACAGGTGGTGGTTCCGGGGCCTGACGATGTGCTATTGCATCCTCCAGAGGGCTGTTACGCGGTGCACATCCTTTCGGTGGAGTTGGGTCTCCGATTCCCGCTCCACCCTTTTCTGGTGGAATACCTTCGGTTCGTGGGTCTCGCTCCTTGCCAGCTGACCCCGAATAGTCACTCGTATATCACAGGGTTTCTCTCGCAATGTCGAAGCCGAGGGGTCGTCCCCACATTGGATCAATTTTTCCTATCTTTCAACCTGTGTCGAGGGGGGGGCTGCCAATAGCGAGGGCTTCGCCAACCTCCAACAATTGCCGGCATGGAGGCTTTTCTCGGAGGTGCCTTCGTCCCACAAGGGATGGAAGGACCGTTTCTGTTACCTCAGGATGCCGGGAGTGACCTTCCCGAGGCCCCTTCGCAACCATTTCCAGAGACACCCTAAGGTGGGCAATGCTGCCCTTGAAGGCAATGGGAAAAAGCTGAAGGCGAAGCCGCCTGGTTCAGAAAAGCTGACGACTATCAAGGCCGCCACGCTTCCGGAGGAGTTGCTCAAACTAGAATTTCAGCGGTATCGCTTGCCGGGGGAGAAGGATGAGAGATACCCCCTCCTTGACCGGGGCCCCCCGGGTGCTAGAGGTTGTTGCCGAGGGGCTCTGATTCTGGTACTTAATCATTTTTGTCTTTGGTTTGTTTCCTCTTTCTAACTCTCCTTTACCCCTTGCAGGTGGCATCATGGACCCGAAAGCCTTTGCTAAGCTTTCAAAGCAACTGGCCAAGGAGAAGAAGAAGGACGTGGGGCCCCCAACTCAAAGGGCTGCAGATGAATTCTTCAAGAAGCCGGAGGGGGCGAAGAACCGCGACGGTGAGGGGCCCTCACAAGCTATTGCTGACGGAGGTTCCAAGGCCGCGGAGCTTAAAAGAAAAAATGCCGGGAAGGGCTTAAAGCCTCCGGAAAAGAAGAAGGCAAGGGGGGATGCCGGGGAGAAGGCTCCCCCAGCTGTAATCATCGATGACCTTCCCTCGGGTCCTCATTCAGCCTCCGCCCTCCCGGAGGAATTTGACGAGGGTGCCTGGCCCTTGGAGAATGTGCAGTTCCCCATTAAGAAGGGGACTGCCCTTATGCACGGCACCCTCGATCCGAGGGAGTTCCTGAGAGGTGCCACCCCCCCGCTCGATCGCTCCACTCTTGGCAGGTTCGCGGATGAGTCCCTCGAGCTCAAGGCTCTCCAGGCTTCAGTCACTGTAAGTGTTTCATTCTTCTGAAATGTTTTGCCCTTGTGTCTTTTTCCTTTTGTATATTCTGACCTTGACCGCCCCTCTTCCCTGTCTTGCAGGCTAGCGTGGCCTTCGGGGAGCTTGTTAGGAGGGCGGAACAGCACCGCCTTGAGAAGGCAAAGTCCGACGAGGCCATGAAGAAACTCGTCGCCAACAATACCGAAGCCATCAGGCAATTGGCCGGGTTGGAAGAGGCCCTCCGGCAGGCTGACCAGAGACTGGAGGCCGCGAAGCAGGAGGCCCGGGCCGAGGGAAAAGCTCAAGCGGAGAAGGCTGCTGCTGAGGCCGCCAAAGCCACCGCCGAAGCCGCCGAGTCCGCTAAGAAGGAGGCAGTAGCAGAGGCTGTCAAGGGGGCTATTGACGCCTTCAAGGCTGGGGAATGGAGGGCTGAGGGCCACAAGGAGTGGATGGCCTCGGTGATCCCGGAAGTCGTCGAAGAGTGGGTAACAGGCCCCGGGGCTATGTGGCTAGCCCGGAAGGGTAAGTCGTTTTATGAGGGGGGCCAGTACTTTACCCAAGCAATGTTGTACCGGAGGCTGGCCCGGCACCTCGGCCTTGACCCGAAAGATTTCAAACCTGAGTCCCACGGCCTTCCCCCGCTGGTTCCAGACATCCGGGTTCCCCTCCCCGAGGGCGAGGAGAGACAGCTGCTGGAGGATTCAGAGCTCGACGGGCTGGCCTCGGATGATGAGGAAGATGTTGGTGATGATGCCGCCTCGAAGGCTAAGGAGGATGTAGCATAAATTTTGTAATAGTTTATAGGCCCCGGCTTCGGCCATATTTTTGTAACGAAATTCACTTGAACAACTTTTCCTGTCGAAATGAATGGTTGCCTTCGGGCTTTTTATATGAATGCCTTAATTTGTCGCCTCTGCGCCCCCGATTTGAATGTATGCCTCTGCTTTTATGTCTGTTTGCTTTCCCTGTATGCCTTGCCTTAGCGTAGGACCATCGGGGGGCTTGAAGCTGTGGACTTAGAAAATTTTCTAAGTAAGAATTTTGTCACGAGCCTTCGGCTGTGACGTAGGACCACCGGGGGGCTTGAAGCTGTGGACTTAGAGAATCTTCTAAGTAAGAACTTAGAATA